GTTCAAAGAGTCTTACAGGGCAGTGCGTTGAGAGCCAGTCATAAAAAGGGCTGAGCCCTGGACACAAATTTCCACAACAGAGCTCATCCCAGGGAACCTGTGCAAATATAAGCCACGTGCAAACATCTGAGCGAATCTACAGAGCATTTTCGTCAGTACCAAGTTCGTTCTCAAACATAGCCAAGTTTAGAACAATGTTCCAGTTCAGAGCGAGTTATTACTGACTGGGGAGCAGTGGCGTTTTAGATGTTTGAGCGTTCAAAAGTGCTTCTTTCTGAACTCACAACTAGCATTGGTTTTTTTGCAAAAGTCACATGGCCAAGGTCTAAGGGATATCTATTCTCATTTACTGGGGTAAGTCGAACGTTAGCAGATTCGATTCTCAAATCCAGAGGGGGGGCGGTAGTCCCGCAGATAACTGTAATTTGTCACACAAATGCTTGAGTATCTCCCCTTTAAGCACACCAGACAACACTGACAGAGCACGATATCTGAGGTCACAGCCAGCATGAGGGGGACTGGCCCCAGATCACTTAAAGAATTCACACACACCCTTCCCATTCTCGTACAAACACTACTGTGCACTGGACACACGAGAAGCCGAGTGTGACGTCCGACACCAAAGGTTTATTTAATGCTTCCAAAGCTGCTGACTGCACGCAAGCATCTGATGACTTTGTGAAAAGCTTACAGCGACACGACTAGTCTGCGGCTCGCTGGACCGGTTTGCATTCGTTAGCATTTTTTATTTTTAGAGGCACACTGAGAGAGAGAGGACAGGGCGAGTGAAACTGCCCATGGCTCCAACTCGGCTTTTGCAGCAGCACGAAGTGGCCACCCTGCCTTGCAAGGCCACACTCGGATCCCGTCTGCTTGTGGCTGAGAAGGCAGAAGCTGAGAAAGTGAGATGAAGGAGCCGTGAGCCGCCCAGGGAGAGGGGGGAGACAGCGGTGCGGGGGCTGACGTCACCAGCAAGGCAGGGCTTCCACTGTCACCGAGCCTCCAGCGGTGACCCTCCTGTTACCAGGCAAGCCGACAGCCAACCGGATCCCACGGCCAGCCCAAATGGCCTTTGAACTCCCCACCAGCAACTTCCTGCTGTGGTCTCCCCCCCCCCCCCAAACACACTGCACTGCACTATGTCTCTCAGCTATGCGGCACAAAGGAACAGCCATTTTGTGACAAGCCGGGCTTGCAGTTAAAACACCTGGCATCTTTTGCCTTTTTGATTCGCATCCGCCTCTCCTTCCCCAAATAAGTGAGTGAGTGGCTTGCACGGAGACATCCCTGTGCAAAGAACACCAGCGAAGGTCCGGTTGCCGCGGCTTTCTTTTGCTTCCCTCCCTCCCCTCGTTCATTGTCTCCCAGCTAAAATCCTCCTTGCCAGAGTGCAGTTTCATAAAATGGCTGCCACCAGCATACTTTGTGAGCAGAGAGCTGCATCGGTCAGCTCCCACGGCCCGACTTGATTCAAGGAGAAACAGCCCCATAATAAATCCCCCGTTTACAAAGTGAACAAAAATGCAGCTTTTAATCTGCCATCCACCCCTAATGTTTCGGGTTTAAGCTGTGGTGTACTGTAACAGATACAACCTTGCCAATGCAGACCAAAATGCCAATGCATTTTGCTAGAGTGACACACAGTTGTCTTGTTACATGCATGATACCATGTAAACCATCCCCCCCACACATGTGAACGCCCTGATCCTGTACAGAGTTGACTTAAGTGCATTTCACCGACCAATGGCCTGATCCAAACTTCATTTAAAGGTAAAGGTAAAGGTTCCCTTCCTCGAAAGCCAGTCGAATCCGACTCTAGGGTTGCGGTGCTCATCTCCGTTTCAAAGCCGAAGAGCCAGCGCTGTCCGAAGACGTTTCCGTGGTCATGTGGCCGGCATGACTAAACACCAAGGCGCACGGAATGACTTCATTTACCTAGATGTAAAATTCCCTTGAATGGAATTAATGCCTCAGGACAATGTGCTTTGCTGGATTGGGAGCCAGGTATGAACAGGACTGCGGTCTTGAACTTCATACCATTCCACATCAAAATCTACAGGTGTATACAGAAGGCTCTTTTGCAATTGCCCCCAACATCTGGAGTGGGGCACGTGATGAAACATCTGGCACCCGCTGGGAGATGGCACTACTATGCTATCCAACTTCTGGCCCAGGAAATTTCACTTTAGCCTTTCCCCCCAAGGCCTTCATGTGACAGGTTAAGGATACTTTAAGACAAGGAACCTTTTTAATCGAGACAGGTTTTAAGCTGGGGTTTTTCCATGACTGAATGTTATATGGAGCCCTGATGGTTTTATTTTCTGTTTTATATTGCAGGCCTCTCAGAGAGCCTCAACCCTGGGAGAGTATTAAAATATAGTAAGTGTATTTCAAGTCATGTGCTTACAGTAAGGAACCATTACCATCACTTGTCCCTTTGTGAAGACCTCATGTAGCAGACTTGGTTCCACTTTGATCACAACCCAAACCTTGGCAGGTGTTGTTAGGGAAGAAGCCAGCATTGCAGTTGATTCTGGTGCTCTTTTGCAATGTTCACTCTAGGCTAGAGTCAAGCACTTTGAATCTTTGTGCTTGTGAAAACCTTCAAGAGTTGTGAAACTTGTGACTTTTTGAAGCATGTGAACGCTGCTCCGTCCCAACATGAAACTGAAGCTTGCAAGTTTTACCCCATTCCAGTGTGTCTGACTCCTGGAGAATGGGAGAGCACCCACATCTCACTAGTCAAGTATGAATCCATCTTCTACAGCTGAGCAGCAAAGAGCCAAGATAGTGTTTTCATTCAAAGATGACAAAAATGTATGTTTGCAAAGAAACTCCCAGGAGGGACTGACTGCCTTTTATACTCGTATTGTGGAGCTCTGAAGAGCAGGAAACAGTGAAAAAGATCTTGAGCTAGACCTTTGAGGGGAAAGGATTGTGTGATTTCTTAGGAGAATGACAACAAGGTACATGGGCCATTCATCTCCATTTTACATACGTTCCCCCTCCACAGAAACACACATCCCCCAATCAAGAGAGGACTCGATGTCATAGGTGGATTACGTGCTTCCTCTTCAATCTGACAAAGAGAGGAAGTCAGACGTCTATCACACCTCCATGCTGCTTGCTTAGAAGTGATTTCACCACAGGCCCACCTCTGAAAAGCCAAGAGCAGGAAGCAAGAAGCACACTTTAAAACATTCAGCTGACTTGGAAGCTCAGAAAATAAGCTTCAAAGACGACTGCTTAGAGCACTCAAGTTTCCCACAGTCCATGTGACTGAGAGCTGCCAGCAGTCAATATATTCTGATGAAAAATAGCAAAAAGGGGTAAGGGGGGGGGAGACAAGGAGGCAGTGCTTTATTTTCTTACAGTAGCTGCTTGCATATTGGCTGACACTGAACATATGATCTGTTACCCAGAAAGCAAGAGTTCGCATGTGGAGGTTATGCAAATAACTTACCCCAAGGGAAAGGGAAAGAAAAAATATCTCAGGAGGGATGATCCTATCCACACTGAATTCTGATACACCTCAAATTCCCAGCCTTTGTTTTAAAGGGTGGCCTGGTGGGCCCTCAGATTCTCCTAAAGCTTCCTTCTTCAGGTCATCACTTAAAAAAAAAATAATGAAAAAATTGCACTGGTTTCTCCTATCACTAATGTGTAGCTGGACGATTAATTTCAAGATCAACTTTTTAACCAAGCCAATTGTTTTAACTTTTATAACATCTTTTCCAGGGGGAGCGATCTTCATAAAAGGTTTAATGCATTATGCTATGCTCGTTTCCTTTGTGTAGAAATGAGTGGTGTGTGTCCCCCTCCCCACCCCATAAATTGCAGCTAAATCTGTTTAGCTTTTCGATGAGATTTACCCCCCACCACAAAATTTCAAATTTGCCATATCCAGAAATCACTCTCAAATCCTTGACCTGTTCTCAACAGCTTATCTACCAGAACATCATTTTCAACTCCAGGATACTTAATGCGTTAAGTCTGGATATCAAAAGATTTCATTCATTCATCTGCAACAATCACAGGTTGATATAGAAGTTAGCTTCAGAATTACAGATGCTCAAAAAGCTTCAGAATTACAGATCCTCAAAAGTAAAAAGATTTAACATAAAGAGGGGGAAATCAGTATGTTGCAGAAAAGTAAGATTTTAGATTTAGGACGAGCGAGTTGTTAAATTTGTTGTTTTTTAACAGCGGCACAAAATAAAGTTGCATTTGTGTTCTACTTCTCCTCACCCAAACCGGTAAAAATATCAAAAGTATATGCAGACCCAAACAAAGTGAACATCAAGATTCAAAGGTGTTCCCAGTATAGATTACTTTTTTAAAAAAATAGAACCAACCACTATTAGGAGGAAAATGTGGTTAAAGTGTATCAAAATACCCTAAAAATAACTAAAACAGTATCAAAGTTCGATATGCCAAAACCAAGTATCAAGCAATGGGTATCGACCCGACAAGCACTTTTCCATTTTTATTTTAAAATGAACATTTTTTCATTCATATAACTCCTGCAGGGTCTTATTTACTATACTATTCGACTACCAGGCTTCTGTAGGGCCTTCAGTTGGAAGTTTAGACTTCAGAAATTCTTCAAAGAAAAAAAATGCCTTCTACATAAATTGGTGCAATGCAGCAGCAGGCTAAAGAGGCAAGGTCATTTTTCCCAGCACAAAAGCCCTCCCAAAACACGAAATTCACAAGCTGAAATAGCTTAATATACAAATAAAGGGCTGCATCAAGAGAAAGGTGCATTACCTTTTTATCTATGCCATGGGGCCTCTAAGTCACAACCCAACTTTCCGAAATTGCTATAAAAAATTAGGGTGTGGCACCTTCGAAATCTCAAGGTCACTCCTTAAGCAAAGAACCAAAAGCAACGAAATATATATTTGCTTCTGGTATTGGTGGGAACCCAAGGATGTCAAGAGGTAAACAGTGCGATCAGGGTTAACCAAAAAACACAAAATAAAGTTGAGAGATCATACCTCGATGCATTGCTGTGGACAGAACCCTCCTCTCCGTGGCTTTTGTCCCTGGTTCTCATCATCTTTTAATTCTTAAAATATTAAGAGCAAAGCAGATGGATGCCTGGGTCTGCTTTGAAGTCCTGTGCCCAGGTATTTACTGTCAAAAGTTGAAAGAAAGGTAAAGTCCCACTTGCTGCCTTTGGCTTTCACGACGACGAACAAAAAAGTCCTGACGTTGCAATGGTATTTGTTACAATAATGCAGAAGGCTCAAAAGCACGGGGGGGAAATCACGAATTAAATTTTACATTTCCCCCCCGCAAAAAAATTAAAAGCGGGTACACAACACTGGGGAACATCGTGCAAACTTTCCCAAAGTAACCGTGGGAGCAGATATTCTCGGTATTTTATTGCGTCATTCAGGATCGTTCAAACCGGTCGACGACCAAAAAAATAAATAATCGAAAGTACTCAGAAAAGGGACAAAAATCCTAAAAAGCGATGGTTAATAATCGCCCACCTACCTGATCAGCGCCAGGTCCTACCCGATATTAGTTTCGGGTAGTAGGGAAACATCAGCTCCAAAATGTTTCCAAGACAGACGGACCGGGAGTCTTTTTTTTTAAAAAAGTATTTCTTTTCTTTCGAAAAAATATAACAAATAAGAGTTTAATCCCAAAAGATCCGCGGTCGTTTAATCGCCAGAGGCGATCATTAAAGCAAAAGGAAAAGATCCGGAGGAAAAGCTCATTAGGCGAGCGCACAAAAATGGAGGTACGCCATGGCTTCCAAGCTGGGAAAAACAACGACCTGGTCTGCCTCCACGGCTGCTTCTTTCCAACAAGGCGAGGGGAAAGAGCCCCCCGAACCTCCTTTTCGGCCCGAAAAACGCTCGCTCTCCCCCACGCCGGTCCCCACGAGAGGCCAGGGGCCGCAGGAGCCCCTCGAGGCTGCCCAAAAGTTGGGGAAAGTTGCGCAAAAGTGGTGGAGGAGGGGAGGGAAAGGCAGGGAGACTCAGCGCGCTCTCCAAGGCACAGCCGCCATCTAGAGCTTTCTTCCCAGCTCTGAGCTCTCCCTTTGATTGACACTCTCTACATTTACCCCACAACTCAGGTGATGTACCATAGACCCACCCCTTCATTTCCACCCAAAAAAACAAGAGAGGGAGCCTCCACCTAAAGGGAGGGGGTCCCCCCAACCCTGGGCATCTCAAGCCACCCCAGTCTGTGGAGGGGGCAACTTAACCCCATCTGGTCCAGACACCCTTTCTAAGCCAGAAAGAGAGATTATTGGCTTCTTTTGTTGTAGAAGGCTGGCATATTTCTGTCCTTGGGCTAAAATTACTTCCTCCCTGGACAGGAAGTGGTGATGCACCAAGCCATTTTGAAGCAATGGAAGTCAAGATGGGTCCATTGGGTTACCCCCAGTCCTCTACGTGGGTAGGCAAGCCCACCACCCAATGGGGTAATTTCCAGAAAAATGAGGAAGTATCTTCTTTTTAATAGCCATTGTGGGACAACTGACCATAAACATGCTCCTTAGAACAGTCATTCTAATAGAAAAGAGCTGGCTACTAGCCCTGCCAAGCTCCATAGCGCCTCCCTAGTGGCTATGCTTGGAAACAACAAATCGGGTAATTGAAAATCCAATTCATTGGTTACTGAAGTGGCTGTAAAACTGGGTCCATTGTATTGTCACGTCCATTTTCTTAATTTGGCAGATCTCGGATATTCAATAACAAAGACTCCATAAGGGGCCATATTTTAGCTGTATTCCATTCCCAACAGCTTTCTCAGCAACAGTGATGATGGACCAACAATCCCTTTGGAACTTCATGGGAGAGAAGCGCATCCAGTACCTCACCGCTGAGCATGCCCAATACCTAGATCTGAGGAAGTTCATCATGATCCCCTCACATTCCTCATGGATTTGGAGTCCACGCGCACGCAGGTGGATGTGAGCTTGATCCAAAGATACATAGTACCTTCTAACAAAAGCTCTACCAGTACAAGCCATAATCTGTCGCATTTTTCCGCATCCTTTCCAGCCCATATGCAATCCACACTAACCATTTTCAAGGAATCAGTCAAGAGTTGCTTAAAGTTGAGGCTCACACAATAGCAACAAGCAACAGGGAACCCCTTGGGTATAGGCTCCAGATGCCCAAATTAGGGGGCACCACAGCTGTTAAAATTTCTGGAAGAAACCCACATCCAAAGTATTCCACCAGTCCAAGCCTCATGTGCTTTGTCTAGACCCAAGTCACCATTTTTAAGCAATCAACGCAGGGCATTTGTTAACAGTGAGCAGGTCAGTAAAGATTCCTATTAATCTCCAAAACCACGACTACACAAATCAATGAAAGCCAACATAATTCAACAGCAACATAGCCTGTTGAGTAAATGTCTATTTTTCCCTCAGTAATCCTCCACATCACTATGCCAGGAGCAAACTGGGATCTCCTGTCCAAAAATGATGTGTCCATCAACCTACAATGGTTGGCCAAGTAGCCTTACATTGGTTGGCCAAGCTTGAAACGGCAAAACAGAACTCAAGAAAATACCTATGGTTCTTTAATGGTTTACATAGGCAAAAAGAAGCAAAAAGCGCAACTTCATCATTTTAACCAGTTACGTGGAGATCAGTACAACAGGACCATGGATTTCATGAACATTCGAACAAACAGCAACCCATTTAATATATTGATATGTATGATCTATGTTACCAGGCCGAAATTATTTCATGGCAAGATGTTCACAGGAGCTCAATGAAATGGTCAGGAATGGGTTCCATTTGTAGTTTATGTGAATATCTGGTGAACTCTAGAACATCAGTAGAAGACTCCAAAATACAATGTGTTGTGTGGTATTATTTTCACTAAGATCATTTAATTTGTACCATTCTAAAGTTGCTGCACCAGTTTGGAAATGTTTGGTCTTAACAGCCACCACCATTTGAAGTCAGCCAGACATATAACCCCCATCAGATATCACAACACACAAACATTTGTAACTAACCAGAGAACATACAAAACAAAACCCCAACCAAGAATGTAATCCTCAAACATTTCTCCTGTCCAAACCACCAACAGAAGATATTGATACATAATAATCATTCAGCCTGAAAGATGACAAACAAGAATCAAAATGTAAAAAAAACTTTTATTTAAAATCGTTTGAGATTGAATTGCACTTTTGCCAACAGACATGGGCCAAACATGTATGTACACATTCCTGGTTACCAGAATTCAGTAAGCCGCTTTCACCTCCCCAAATGAGTTATTAATACAAGACTCAAAACATTTAATTGTGAAAAAAATTATTAATGAGATGGCCATAAGGCCCAATCTTCTTTGGCTTAGAAAACAGCGTAGTCCATGCTAAAGTGCCCCTGTCTTGGATGGATATACTCTGCAACCATGCATTAGTTCATTTTCTCAACCTCTCAATCAGTGGAATTGCCATCTTGATTTGGAACTCGTAGTCTCCCTTTGAGATTCTTCCTTTGTCTGGATTCTTGATAAAAAAAATTAAAAGAAATATGCTGTTGGAATACATGTGATTTTTATCCTTAAACTAAGCAGCCAATACTGAATTGTCACATCTGAACAACTTCATCATGTTTTAAAAGAGTAAAGCAATGTCAAAATTAGATGGGTCAAAACTAGTATAATTCATGGCCAATCCATTAACCATCTTTCAGAATCACTATAGGGAATACTGAGGATTTATGCTTTTAATATAAAAATTCTACTTTGAACCACCACTGAAGACACAGGAAAAGATTAGCTTTAGCCACAACTTCTAAAAATCACAATTTATAGCTAAACTGACATTCACAAATAAACTATTGCCAGGTCCTTTCAATATTGCAAGGGAGGAAACTCTAAATTTAGTTCTTAATGAAATTATTAAACACATTTCAATTATTTGCTTGTGATTTTTTCAAACAGATCAAGAAAACACTAACTAGATAAGGTAAAAAGATTAATACATCACTATACAAATGCATAAAGAGCAATTACAGACCAGTCTAGGAAAACTCCAGCATGCACAGACATTACTCTATGGCTAGCAATATAGACAAAAGTAGTATACATGATGCAACTGGGGATTTCAAAGAATGCCAGAATGTACTCTCAACCTTCAGCAAACAGACCCCAGGAGAAACCGAGGAAAGGTCTTGCTCAGAAAAGGACTGCTCATAAATGGTTATATTTATAGAATTTAGCAGGTATTAGAGCTGTATGGTGTGTGGATAGTTGTCAAATGGTTAGTAATGATCTTAGTTGCTATATGTAGAAATCTAGAACCAATATGTGTCACATGTATTGTATTTTACAAAACAATAAAAAGATTTTTTTAAAAAAGAAAGGACTGCTCATATATGTATGAAGTTTGTTTCAGTCTGATTTTTGGTCATCAAGATCTAAAGAAAAATTGAATCCCTTTGTTCTGTTTTGATTCCTATGAATGTAGAACAAAATGGCAGAACAGCAGATACTCCAGTGTCTGCAGTAGTTTAACACAATCCATAGGGAAAGCCCATTAACCTTACAAGTTGCCTGTACTTCTGTACCCCTTCCTATGCATTCCTCATCACCTGAGCAATGCTGTAACTCAGTTTCAATTCCATGTGGACAATCAGCCCAAGGCAAATGGGTGCTTTGGTCAAGCTCCAGTTTTTCAGCCCCTCTGACACCTGCCCCCTCCTTCCTACAGAGTCCTTAACTGCACCCATCAATCTGAATGGGTGAGCCTATGATTTTAAAGGATAGCACCCAACGACCAAGGGAAAGCCAGATACGGCTCTCCATGGAATATATGAGAAAGATTTTTGGGATTTTCAGCAAATACAACAGAATTTTAAAGAAGTGCTTAGGCCATCATGTCCCATGACACTGCATGATCCAGGAAACTTCCATTCTAAATTGATTTATGAAATCAGCACAGGGTCTTCTCACAAGGCCAAAAAACAGGTTAATTAAACCATAAACAGTGAGGGATACCTAGAAAAGTCAAGATGTTAGTTACTGCAGCTGCAATATGCAAACCCAGCTGGGGGCAAACCTATACTACCATATGAGACTTTGAAAGGCACAAAGAACTCAGTCACAGAAGTGGGCAAAGTCAGGACTGGAGAAATCCACGTGATCACTTAAGCACATAAACATTTATTTCATTACTTTATTTGTAGACCACTTTTCTCACTGACACTCGAGGTGGATTACAGAATATAAAACCGTGCAATCAGTCCTTGACTGCCTATTTAGAAAGCATCTTTCGATTTACCCATTATCACAACATGCTGTACTATGTTGTTAGTTGTTGCATCAAGAAGCAAAGCCACATCTAGACTGCTGTAATGCAACCATACGCAAGAATTAGGCTTAAGGGCAGAAGTGGATCTTGTCTATGATGAATGGCTCATAAGAAAAGCATCTACAGATTATATCCTTATGTTGATAACTATTTGGTCTCTGTATTAAGTGATTGTCTCTTCTTGCCCACAGATGTTAGGCTCCTTCCCAAACCCATTTCAAATCCCCCTCTCCATATACTGTAGGAGCTTTTAAAAGTTCCTATTATATCAAATTATTTCCTATCACTTCACTAACAAGAAAACATAAATCCAGCCAATAATCATCATGTATTAATCAAGTCCAGTAACTGGACATCCAGCAAAATCAAGTTCACTGATTGCTGGTTACCAAGACTGGTCAAGAAAAATGAAGGAAGGCTATTGGCTTGAAAGGCAACCCAAATATTTTTGAAATTCAGTTTGGAAAGTCTCCTTCCTATTTGGCAATTCCAAAGACCAAACAGCAATTAAAGTGGTTTAGTTAAAAAAAACAACACATCTACATTTATGTTGTTGCAACCAACAACCAAAGATCAGGCCTGTTATAGTATCTGACCTATCTCACTGGAACTTTGTTCTGATCTATTGATGGGTCCTTACACGGTCTTCTAAAGCAAAACAGAAACAAAACTCTACAATCCCAGAGCAAAAAATAGCAGTACTCCATTCAACTTCTTTCTTGAAGTAGAGCAAAATGGTGGTATGTACAGGACATT